AAAAAATTCTCTACGAAGTGAGATCCCCTCGTATCTTCCGCTGTGTTGCAGATGTTTCTCTTCTTTGATCACCTGTAACGAGAAAGAGGAAAGGGAAGGAGCAGAGAGAGAGAGAGAGAGAGAGAGAGAGGCAGGGAGAGAAACGTACTTGAGAAGTTCTGAACTTTAGCACCTGACTTTTTAGGCAGGAGAAAACCCATCCCATCCCTCGGCAGCCATCCCTGGGAAGCGCCTGCTCTGCCCTGGACCCACCTCTCCCAGCGCCTCTTTCTCTTTCGCTCTCTCCCTGTTCGGAGCGGAGCCCAGCAGCTCCCACCGCGCTCCTGCCGCCCTGCTCCTACTTTTCCTTGGRTTTGGCGGGTTTTTTGGCTCTTTTTCTTTCTTTTTTGTTCTTTTTTTGGTCGTCGCGGTTGTTTGTTTATTTTTTTATTTGCTCCATTTGCACCTGAGAAGCTCCAGTGGCTTAAGCCGGTGAGAACTTGTGCCATTCGCTGCTGCACAGCCCAGAGTCACTTTGATTGCTTATTAGTTATTATGCAACCGAGAAAGGGGGGAACGGGGGGAAAAGAGAAGGGAGGGAGGGGGAAAAATCGAGGAGGGGGTAAAGCGATGGCAGGGTGGGGGTGAAAGGAAGGAGCGAGGAGAAAACCAGGGTGGGGAGAGGGAAGGAAAAAAAAAATTAAAAGCGACAAGTTGCTAAAGAAATTCCGCACAAACCTTGGTGGAGAAGCAGTATGTGACCCAGGAGGGATGAAGTTGAAAGTGCTTGATCAGATCAGATTGTGCTCGCTCGCCCTATTTTTTTCCCTTACTTTTTTTCCTCCCTCTCTCTCTCTCCCTTTTTTTTTTTTTTTTTTTTTTTTTTTTTTTTTTTTTTTTTTTTTTTTTTTTTTTTTTTTTTTTTTACAGGGAAGGCATTCTTTCTGAAAGGAGCAGGATGGCGCCAGCCGGCTCAGTGCTTACAGACAGCTGTGGCGAGACGCAACTTAAGGAGGTTCCAGTGTCATAAGCCCGGGGGAGGCGGAGCCTGAGGAGGGGACCGGCCGGGCGCTCCGGCCACCCCCGCGCTGCCCCCGCGGGAACCCCCCGGCAACAACTTCTGTTCATTTCCCCCCGCCTTTTGGTTTATTTATTTTTTAAGTTTGTTTTTTTTTTACTTTTTTTAAGGGGGAAATTAAGTTTTCCCGCTGTCCCAGAAACTCTGCGAGCGGCCAACCCGGAGAGACGGTGCGCGGAAAGGAAGGGTTGGATTCTCTCGGGAGCAGCCCAGGGGATGCCAGCGGGCTCGGAGCCCCCCAGGAGCGGGGATGTCCCGGCAGGTGCAAGACCTGGGGGGCTCCCCCCGGAATAAAGCTGCCTCCTCCAGCGGCGCGGCTCAGAAAGGATTTAATTATTGTTATTTTTAAGGATACGAGCGCACGGCAACGGCCAAGTTTGGACACACGATTTGGGGATGTTTGGGGGCTTTTTTTTGCCTTTTTTTCCCCTTCCCGCCCCACTGCGGACCCCGGGATGGGCAGAAGGAGCCGGGAAYGCCGAGCGGGGCCGGGGCGGGGGCAGCGGGACGGGACCGACGGGACCCCCGGGCGCCGCGTCCGGCCCCGCCCCCCCGGCCGGATCAGCCAATGGGTGACGAGCAGGAACTGGGGCGCCGGCCCCGAGCGGCGCTGATTGGCTGAG